CTCGAAACGGTCGCAGCAACACACCACAACACGCCGCACCAGGCCAAGGCACGCGAACAAACAGACGAGAACCCACCACAGGTGCGCTCCAGCCTAAATGCGGGCGCAACTTAATGACGTCACGGCATTTACTCTAACGCCGGCAAATGGGCTTCCAGCTCATCATGCCACACCAGCATGGTTCAGTTTGACCATCGTATTCTGGTAAGCACTGCTCCTGTCAGCTGAAATGTGTCAGTGCTGTAGCGGATGTGCTTTAGCTGACGTGCTTCCTGTTTGTGCAGGGCATCGCCTCACTGTCAGCCATCACAGGACTCTACCTCTTCTCCAGATGAGTCCACCTGCCCAGACGGGTGAAGATCGCGATCGGCTGTCTCACAGCCATGGCCTATACACAAGTAAAAAGCTTCAAACTGCATCATATACAGCAGAATACACTTATTAGGGGTCCAGTCCTATTGTATTTGTACTGATTTTCTTCTTCTTCCTCTAAAAATTATTATTAACCAAATTGTGCTTGAACCCTATTTGATCAGATTTTTGTTGTCGTTATTATTATTATTATTATTATGCCTGAAAAGAATCTGGGAATCAGAGGATGTAAATCTCAGATGTAGCTCAACTGGTGGGACGATCAGAAATGCCCCTCGCTATGCCTGCACACACACACACACACACTCACACACACACACACGCACGCACGCACGCACACACACACACACACATGCAGGTAGCACAATAATATGGTAATTCGCATTTTAGTTGTGAATTCTGGAACTATAATGCCTAGAATCAAAGTCTACAAAACATACATCTCTGCTAAGCTTTCATCATCAAAAATGACAAAGATATAAACAAATGAAATGGTCACTAATTTACCTATAGCTACTGAACGCAGCGTCTCAGTGAAACTTCACACATTAGAAATGCTTTGAGGAAACAACAAATGAAAAATCATCATAATTCTGCTACCATATGATCAATTAAATTGAAAACTCACATGCATCTTCTTTGGTGCAAATGCTAACATATCCTTCAAATATCACAAATATGGACACCTGCAGCCAATCAGATCTCAGCAGCTAGAGATGTCTTTGACGCTGACATAACATTGACATAAGTATTCAGATCCTTTGCTGTGATACTTCACATTTAGCTTAGCTGCATCCCATTTCTCTGGGTCATCTTTGAGATGTTTCTACACACTGAATTGAGTCCATCTGAGACAAATTTGATTGTTTGGAAAGGCAGGCACCTGTCAATATAATAAACCAAGCATAGTCTGTCCTCAGCACCTGAAAGCCCTCTTGGATTTTGCAAAAAAAAAAAAAGCACTTAAAGTGCTCTGAGACTGAGAAACAAGACCGATCATGCTGTGGGGGTGTTTTTTTAGAGGCAGAGGCTAGAGGACTAAAAGGAAAGCTGAACAGCAAAATAGGCACATTCTTAATGATCAATCAGATTGGATGGACCAAAGGTTTACCTTCCAACAGTACAATCAGCACAGCCTAGACAACACAAGAGCGACTTAGGGACAGTTCTTGAGCAGCCCAGCCAGAGTCCAGAGTTCAAATTTTCGGGCATTACTGGCCCCTCTTGGATTTTGAAAAAAAAAAAAAAAAAGCACTTAAAGTGCTCTGAGACTGAGAAACAAGACCGATCATGCTGTGGGGGTGTTTTTTTAGAGGCAGAGGCTAGAGGACTAAAAGGAAAGCTGAACAGCAAAATAGGCACATTCTTAATGATCAAGACCTCAGATTGGACCAAAGGTTTACCTTCCAACAGTACAATCAGCACAGCCTAGACAACACAAGAGCGACTTAGGGACAGTTCTTGAGCAGCCCAGCCAGAGTCCAGACTTGAACCCAATCAAACAGATCTGGAAAGATCTGAAAATGGCTTTCCAGCAACAGTTCCCATCCAATCTGTCACATTTGCAGGGGAAAATGACAGAAAATCCCAAAATCCAGAAGAACAGAGCTTGTGGCATCATACCCAAAAAGACTTGAGGCTGGAATCTCTGCCAACGGTGCTTCAACTAACTGAGTTAAGGGCCTGAATACTTATGTCAATGTGATTACTTCAGTACTCTGTCTGAAATACTCTCTGAATGCACTATAGTGTCAAAGTGAGGCTGTTGTGAGAACTGACCACAATGCGGCACTATAATATATACATTTATATTTTCACTAATAACTAATAACAGGCTTTTCCCTGAATCATTCAGATCCCCCAAACGGTTTGATCACATGTAGCTATTAATAATTAACTGTGCATAATGTAATAATTTATTAATAATGTAATAAAATGTTCATAATGTAATCTTGAACTCATAATATAATAAAGGTTGTTACATTATAAAAAAATATATTATATTTTGGACAAATAATATAATAGATTCAAAACAATAGTATCCTTTTAAAAGCATAGAAAATGTTGGCATTCATTTACAGTACATTTTCTAAATTTAAGTTACCTTAAAAATGCACCACCTTGCAATAATATTTTTACAATTATAATTCTTATTATGAATTATTACTAATAATAATTCATATTTCTTCTAGTACATTTTAGAAAACTATTTTAATGCATCTGGGCACCGTGCATTTTTTTTTCTAGAGCCACTAGATCAGGGGTGTCCAAACTCCGCAGTGTCCTGCAGAGTTTAGCTCCAGCTTGCCTCAACACACCTGCCGGGAAGTTTCTAGTATGCCTAGTGAGAGCTTGATTATCTGGTTCAGGTGTGTTTAATTGGGGTTGGAGCTAAACTCTACAGGACACCGGCCCTCCAGGACTGAGTTTGGACACCCCTGCACTAGATGGTGATTAATAATAATATTGTGAGCTATTTATTAATTTTTTTTTACATAGGCTATATTGAACACAGTGTTGTTGTCACACTATTTGTCATTGATATGGTATGTATACCTTCTTCCTGTCAAATATTTTTACAATTGTAATTGTTAGATTAAACCAATTAGATTTTAAAAACTGTGATATTGACCCTCATATGTAATGGTGCTAATATAAGTGTTGTTTTTTTTTCTGATGAATTTCTCAGGTGGCTCTGGGCATTAGCACCCTGCTGCTCTATGTTCCCACGCCGCTGGCAGCCACACATCAGTCCGGATCAGTGGCACTACTCACCTTCGCCATCTGGGTCTTGGCTGAGCTGCGAAAAGTGGTCAAGTAGAGAAGAAATGCAGTGGTCAGATTTCATGCTATAATATATTTTGATAAATTATGCTTTAGGCACGTGAGCTTCATCTTGTTTTTTTATGCATGGGTTTTATATGAAGTGCTTATAAACCCAGCACAAGGTATAGTTGTGAAATACATTGAACTGTTTCATTTTTTAAAGCCTGTTTGTACATGTTTGATTTATGCAAAAAAGGTGTTTGTACTGTATGACTGCTTATTTCAAATCAATAAAATTATCTGTGTTTTCCATCCATTTTATGAGGATATTCATCCAGAGTTTACTAAGTAATTTTCATATATAATGAATATTATGCATGTATATTCCATGTAAACGAGTTTGTCCAGTCGAAATCTTTGTGAAATCGAACCAAGAGAACTGGATATTGCGATTGTATTTTGATTTCATCCAGCATGTATATGTTAATTAGACTAAAATTGGACTCTGCGTTAAGCACTCATTCCAAAACACAAAGTGTGTAAGGTTGTTCAGGAAACGATCCACACATAACACAGGTTACTGATGAACAGATTTTAGGCAGTTTTATTAATTATGCAAATTATTACAGTGCCTACACTTTGGGGGCCTGATCTCACACATGCAGGGAGAGCGAAGAAAAAAGCTTGGTGAAACGCAAAGAACACTACACACGCAAGGTATCGCATCAGTATCAATTATTCGAATACATACTGTGTCATGTGTACTCAGACAGACAGATAGGCAGGAAAGACTAGTGTGAATATGCAAAACCCTGCAGTAGCTTGATAATGACTTCCTGTGTAACACACTTATTGTTTTATAGTTTCTGTTAAAACATAATCGTCCAAACCATTTAGTCCACCAAATGTCTGTTATAGGCTTGGAAGGACTTTAGTTAGAGTTGTAGTTTAGTTAGTGATTAAAATTGGCAGTGCAGTGTAGAGTGAGTGCCCTTAGCTAACCTATAAGAGACCAGGTAATGATCATCACTCTGCAGCAAAACTGCTTCACAAACATAGGCTACTTGCATTACACACAATGGAGCACATTTTCTCCATATCCAGTCACAGAGAGATGGGCACAAACACATAAGAATGTAATTCAAATAAAAATACAAAATACCTCAGTTTGAGCAGATCAAAATACAAATACAGTATTTTTTTATTTTGAAAATGCCAAAGCAAAAACAAATAAATCCTGCACACTGTCAGTACCTGAAAAAAAAAAAGATTTATTCACAACCTTTTGGTCCTATGACCTTCATCGGGCATATATGAAAATAGGAATATATGCCGGATGAAGGTCATAGGACCAAAAGGTTGTGAATTGGACTGTGTTCATATTATATTATTTGGGTTCGTTTGTGTCATCAAGCCAGCAGCTGTTTACCCTGTTGCTTAGTAACGATGGTGCACGAGAAGGTGAACGTGATTTCACCAAGTACAACATGTTCCTGGATCAATTCAGTTTGCATAATAGGACTAGGTGTTATAATCCCGATATTCAGCACCATTTAGCCGCACCATAGAACATTTTTTTCTTCGCTGTGAGCAGAACACAGCGAGACGCAATTGTTATGCTCTGACTTTGGTTCAGCAAGAATTTGGGATCATGGCCTAATCCCATGTCCATGGTTCTTGCCTCCATACCCAATAATCAGTCGTGAATTTACAAATTGCTTTATGCGGGACTGGGGAACAATAAGAAAAAGGACTAGTATGGTAAGATGGATAATGAAGACGGTACAATTCTTCGCTGCAGTCATCGGGTGGGGATCCTTTACGTTTTGATGATATAATTTTACTCATAAGAATTTCCAAGGGTGCCAATAATTGTGGCCAACATGCATTGGAGAAAAACATTTATTTCACAAGGTGAGTTTTCCCCCACTTTCAATTGTTTTACTTCAATAAAAGGTTAGAATTTTGTGAATTTTTTGAATGAAAGCTCAAAAAGATCAATGATGCAGATTTATTTTCACAGCTGCCTTTGCTCATGTTTACCAAGGGTGCCAATATTTGTGGAGGGCACTGTACATGTTGTAGTAAGTTCTGGATTAACCACATGGGCAGTGTTGCTTTTGAAGGAGTGTTTAATGGCCATATGATCATAACCAGTCTGCGATGATATAATGAATGTAATTAAAAATCTCCTTTTCAACACTTGACTGGGTATTTTGAGTTTAATGTGTATTAAAGTTTGTCAGGTCTAAACTATTGTCAGTAGTGATGCACTAGGAATTCACTTTAGCCTGGGTGAAAGATGCCTTTTGTTGAGGTGATGTGCCCAGCCTCATTGGGTGTTTCAGCCCTTTATCACAAGACACCCTCACTTTGTTACATGGTCATTTGGCAGTCCACACAGTGTCCATCCACTTCAGCCACAGCCAGCGGCTGCTTCTTTCAGCAACAGTGGCAAGTTCCCTGACTATCCTCCGCTGGCACTGTCCTCTGATGCCCAACTTCTTCAGCAGCCTTATAGTGGAACTAGCCACAAAGCCCCTGCAGTCCACTTCCACTGGGTACACTTTCACTGTCCAGCCTCACTCCTCTGCCTCAGCTGCCAAGTTGGCATATTGCAGATTCTTCCTTTCAAAGGATTCATTAATGGCCTCTTCCCAAGGGACTGTCAATTCGACTAATATGACGAACCGGCTGGAGTTGGACCAGAGAACCTGGTCTGGGTGCAGATTGGTGACTGCAATTTCAAATGGGAAAGTGAGTCTGTGGATTAAGTCGACTCGCATTTCCCAGTCCCTGGCTATATTCAGCTGGCCTGCGTCAGGGGACAGGCACTTATCCCGCTTTTTCTCCCCTTCCCTAACAAAGGACTGCCTTTTTGGTAAGGTATTCTTGGCATTTTGGGGGATGGCGTTTGTTGACACTCTCTTGGTCTCTATTGCTGCCACCAAGCACTTCAGTACTTGATTGTGGCGCCATGTGTAGCTTCCCTGTGTCAGACTGTTCTTACAACCCACCAGAATATGTCTGAGGTTTGCCAGGGCTGCACACAGGTGGCGTTAATGTGTATTAAAGTTTGTCAGGTCTAAACTATTGTCAGTAGTGATGCACTAGGAATTCACTAGGCTGAAAACTAAATAAATGCCTAAAAGAAAAAAATTACTTATAATTATTACTCATAAAGCTCTGTAAATTTACCACCACTGCAGTTGGTAGTTGAATGCATTTAAATAATTCCACGGAAATTAATTTAACACTAATATTGCTAATGGTGACTTCAAACTAATCATTTTAAAGCAAAACGGCAACAAAACCACTAAATAGATCAAGAAAACATAATTTACAAAAGTCAAAAGTCTGGAATAATTAAATTTTTTAAATGTTTTTAAAGAGGTCTTTTCTGCTCACCAAGGCTGATCAAAAATACAGTAGAAACATCAATACTGTGAAATAGTATTACAATTTAAAAGTACAGTTCTATATGAATATCTGTTAAACAGTCATTTATTTATGTCATGTCAAGTCAAGAC